GAACCTTTATCAACATGTATAACAATGAGGAAGAGCTATCAGAAAGATGAACAGGGGAGCTCTCGAATGAGATAAAGATGCAGAGGAAGACTGATTTTAAATATACAAATGGGCCTAGTATTTCTGATTTCCTCAATGATGACGTTGGGGTTGATTCAGAAGAGGATAATAGAACACATATATGGGCAAAACAATGAGGAAGAGCTAGCAGAAAGATGAACAGGGGAGCTCTCGGATGGGATTGCTCGAATGTAACTCTTCATTAGAAATATGAATAAGGGAGCTCTCGGATGGGAATGCTCGAATGCAACTCTTCAAAGAGAAAACAAAAAGCAAAGGAGAAATCAAACTACTTGAGCAGACCTGATGAGTCCATGAATTACCTTACCTTGATGACCAACCTCTTCCAAATGATACCTATCTCTAAAGAAACAAGGGAAATTCAATGTAGAGGTTGGAACTGGTTATTTGGGTTCAGACTCGAATCATCTAGTTAGAGGCGCAGATGATGAAGAGCTTGAAGCAAAATTGGTAAAGAAGCCTTCTCCTCTGATCATACCTTCTGTCCACTCTAGCTTCTCATTCTCCATAATTCACCTTCTCTCAGCTGTTCAAAGGGCAATTGTTACCCAAGCCCCTTTGTATGTTCAAAAGCACTTTGAGAGGGGTGAAGGGTGAAGGGAGGTAAAGAACAAAGAAGGAAGAGCAACACGTTTAATGGAGGAGAAAATTCTCTGTCTTCTCTCTTTCAGGAGATTATTAACCGTTACACACAAGAGCCCTTCAAGATCTGGTTACAATCCTCTGTTTCAGAAGTGCCCATGTTCAGAGAACAAGGGAGAGGAAGAGTTGTAGAAAATTAGGGCTATGTGCTTGGTAAGAGCTCCATTGGAGCAATGGGGGTTTTGCAAATTATTTCATGATATAAACCCAAATTTTATTACATATCTCTTATCATCCACCTCTCTTCTCACTGCTCAACCTCCCTTCCCCACTATGTCCGGGTTAATAAATCTCTCTCGTCATTTCTATATAGATCAACTGTGTCATCTCTTTACTCATACTAGCACTCTCTCTCTCTCTCTCTCTCATCCTATCGATTTGCTTATGCCGAAAACATATGAAAAACGTCCAACCAGAATGAAACAACAATTCCTTCCCAGAGTAAATGGAGTGGGCGAATGTGAGATGAACATAGTCTTTGTCGTTGGTCTAGTAAAGACTGTGGAGGAGAGAAGGCTGAGAAGCAACATGCATATTGCTACTACATTGATTTCACTCCAAGAAACTCATAGGAAGCAAAACCACACCTCTCTCTCTCAGAGGTTGGGGATCAAATCTTCCTATTAAGGTGTATATATATGGTTTTAGAAGTGAAGCTAAAAGGCAGTTATGATGATTTTTTTAGAAGTAGAGATGCTGAAAATTAGGGCTCTATGATTGGTTAGAGTTCCATTGGAGTAATGGGGGTTTTACAAATTATTTCATGTTATAAACCTAATTTTTACCACAGATCTGAGTAAAATACACACACACACAGAGAGAGTGTACCTTTAGAGATGGGGTGAGCCGCAGAGAGGCACAGGGAAGTCGAGCAGCCCTTGGAGTGAGGGGCTAGAGAGAGACATTGAGCGAGGGGTTTTTCTCAACGAGCAGGGGCAAGAGAGTGGTAGGGAGAGGGGTTTCTTTTCAACGAGCAGGGGCAAACCCAGGAGATGAGGAAGAAAACCAGGAGAGAGAGGGTGTTTTGTTTTGGAAGAGAGTGAGGGAAGTGCTTCGTTTTGTTTTGGAAGAGAGAGAGAGAATCGTGCTTTTTTAAAATGTCTGTCAGTGCTCATGGGTTGCAGTGTCAGCGCCCTTTCCTACCGCCACACTGACCGTCCATTTATGGACATTTCATCCTGACCGTTGAGTGTAGCTGAAGCATATGCGCGAGCGGGTATATATATATATATATATATATATATATATATAATATA